ATATTGCTATCACCAAAGTACCTGACGAGAACAAKAGAGGAGGAAAAGTTTAATTGAAGTTCACAGTTTCAGAGACCTCAGTCTGTAGATGGCCAGTCCACTGCTCGGTGAGGCAGTATATCATGGGCAAGGGTATGGCCAAGGGAAGCTATCTCCTTATGGTGGGATAAGGATACAGAGAGAGAGAGGGAGGGGAAGGGTAACAGGAAAGATGCGCTTCCTATAGCCGCACCTCAACCACCTACAGTTACCACTCAGTCCTTTCAAACTAGGGTGAACCCATTAGGTAAAAGCTCTAATAAGGTATTCATTTTACTTYTGAATATTCCTGCATTAACAGGAACTCTGGGGAACACCTCACATCCAAACCATATCACATGCTCTCTTGTCATATTATGATGTAGGAAGATGGCCCTTGCCAGATGTAGACATTTCAGCTTCCAGATCTATAAGAAATACTTTTCTTTTAAAATTATCCAGTCCGTGGTATTCTATTGTAGCAGCTGAAAATAGACTAGGACRGAAAGCAAACTTCATAGCTTAAAGATGTACAATCTAGGTCTTAATGAAGCTTGTTTCCAGATTAATAGAGAAGACTCTTTATGGTCTTTTACAAGCATAGGCTGTTAATTACATTAAGATAATGAAACCAAAAACTAAAGGTTAAGATGCTTTTGGACAGACTGAAGAATGAYGTGCAAACAAAGCTTAGGCATTTATGGGGCAGTACTTCCCTGTGCTATAAAAACCATTGGGGAAGAGTTTCATGCTCTGGCTAAATGTACCCTCATTGGAGCAGGRTACTCATCCAATTGGATCATGAGTCTGGTTTAGCACAGTAATTACAGAAACAAGATTTGGGATTAAAACATAGAACACTGAATTTCCCATTTCAAATGTGAGTCATATTAAAATTATTTTTATTAGCATCCTCTAGAAAACCACAGCATACCTTTGTATTATTAACTGCACATATATAAGTCTTTAAAAATGCCCTAACATAGTTTTTAACATACCAGAGACTAAAAAATGTGGATTGATAGGTAATATGAATATAGAGTTTATTTCCAAATTTGAAAGATTTATGGTCTAATGGAAATCTCTCTTGAAATAATGGAATTAATGTTGAACACTTAAAAAGTCAAACATGAAATGACTGAAAAATATAACACTTATTTAGAGTTGGGTTCTAAATGTCCTCTAGACTCATGGAATTCACCCATATCCCCAAAGATAAAAATAGTGTAAAGAAATGATGCCATATGATTATTATACCAAAATTCCATTTGGGTCTGTTTTGTAGAAAAAGAAAGTAGAGAACAGGTTCCCAGATTCCCACTTCACATTGGACACATGTTTTTGATACAACTCCTGTGTATGGGGCTTGTGTGTTTTACTATACCTTGTTCCAGAAACAAATTAAAGCAACTTATAAAATCACATAAATTAAGACTCCAAGTAAAATAAGCAAGAAATAAGGGTGGGGATGAAAAATAGAGCCAGGAATGATGTCAGAAAATGCACATCACATGACCTATATGCTTAGTGTGGGTGGGGGACACATTGGCTGTGGTTCTCGAGCAATATACACAAAAAGTGAACCTGGTTATAATGTCACAAAATAAATAGTTTCTCAGGAAAAAGGAGCCATAGCTGTTTTATTTGTGTCAAAAAAAATAATCAGAAGTTTTCTCCAGGATTTTAGTAAAGTGTATGATTTAATTAATAAGCACTGTCTAGCAACACTCTTACTATGCCCCAAAGGGGGGGTTCATGGCTGAGCCTTACAGTGGACTTGAATATAGGTGTTTTATCAAAAGCACTATACTAAAGCAAGACCTAGTAAAATATTTTAGAGTGGGCCAAAACTGTCAAGAACTGGAAGGCTCTGCAATTTTACTCTATGTGCAAGCTAACATTGATAGTTCATAGATGCTGGAATGAGACGCAGGACTCCTCGGGCAAAGGCAAAGGACAATTAGAGAAATAGCAGAGGTCTGAATAGCAGTATTTGTATCAATTCTGAGTCCCAATTCCTACAGGCCAAAAGAGGTACAGGTGATATCACAAAAGAAAACTGAGCTTGGGGAACTTTGATGATGGGAAGTAATCATCCATTCTCTTTGCCCCAGAAAGAAACAATATCTTTATTATATGAGTCAACACACAAAAAAAGTTCTGTCTTCCAAGGCTGTCTGCAATACAAGCATTCTTAAAAAAAGATAGTCTGGACCACAGGAAATCAGTGCATCTGATCATGAGATGGGGCCCCTTGGAGAATTGTTTTCCAACAACATTCTAGACCATACTCAAACTTTCTCTATGTCAGTCCAGAACTATCTTTTAGACTGTTTGGAGGAATTGATGGATATTTTTCCAGTGACACTTAAAGCATTGTTATGTTTTAGGCAAGGAGGGGATGATAAAGAGAAGAGGCATGGTTCCTGCCTTCACAAGAAACACAGTACATATTTTATGTGCTTTTCAAGCAGTTGTTCCTAAGTGTTCTTTCAACAAGATTTTTTTAATTATAAATGTCAGTGATAAGACTCAGTAGTCTACAATCTCACAAGTATCTGGAGCTTAGCATTTTCATATTTCCAAATAAGATACTGTGGCTGAAGAGGCATTTGAACAGGGTGAGGGTTGGTATTCTCTTGAGAGAACTGAGAAACCTGACAGAATGTACCAATTATTCYACAGTAGGCATCTGCAATGTACCCATGGCCAGAGGGTCAATTCTTCCTTGGGATGAGCCCCAAATCCTTCAATGATTGCATGACTAAAGCCCTGAAGTGTTTATTCCCTGTGAGGAGGGACCCACATTCTGGAGGATTTGTATCCCTCCTGCCTGGGTGGGAGATCTGACCTGACAGAAAATGTTTTGTTAATTGAGAAGGTGGAAAGTCCTGTGTGAGACGGGCCCTTTCTAAAGCCGTTATTCCTCCCSGCCTTTGGAGAGTTATGATAATACTGTCAGCATTTTTACTGAATGGTCATTTGTCTTAGCAGCCAAGGTAATGCAACMACCTATCTGACAAAATAATCAGGTTGGCCTTTGTTTAATTAGCTTCCAGTCATTTCCAAACTGCAAATAATGACTGCTAATGTGGATGGGAATTGGTCTGCTGGTCACACAGAAGCTGATCGGCCCAATCCCATCACCCAACCCTCACACCATCCCCTCACACTGTTTTGAAGAACTAGCAGCCTTGACAACATTTCTGCTGGTATTGTTCCCTCAGAAAACCTGTCATTTCCTGCTAACACTGTGGCTTCACTGGCTTAGCTTCAGGGTAATGGCATATAGAAGCAGAACCAGCAGGGTCAGCTGGATGACTGTCCAAACTCGGGATTGAGGGAGCTGCCTGTTGAAGTAGAAAATCAGAGATGAAAAAGACCTGTTAAATAACCCAGTCCCTTCCGCAGCCACTGCCAGAGCATTCCAATGGTGAGAGCTTGGACCGAGCCAGCTCCAGATGACTTTAACAATGTGCCTCTCACACTTTATTTGGAAGACAAGGCTGTCTCTTCAAGTTTTCTTTTGGTGAGTTTTCTACCTATCATTTCATTTGACCAGTTATTCCAGTTCCTTCTTACTGTTTTTGGTTCAGCTATAGCAACATTGTGAAATAAGCTGTTTTCAAAAACTCAATATAAGCAATATTTAAATTATTACCCCAGTCATTCCAGCAATGTGCCTATATTTGGGGCCATGTGCTCTAGGGGGAGAGGGCACATGCATGAACTTCAGAGGTAATTACAACCAGGCTAGATATATTTACTGGAGGGCTTTACTTTTGTCATTTATTGCTGTCACTTTCAGCAACTGCTTTCTGAGTGACAGGCACTACTAAATGTTTTCTAAAATTCCTACTAGAAAATTTAYGAAGTTGGCACAGTCATCTCTATTTTTGAATTTAAAGTTTAGCAATTAGGAGTAGAAGTGCTGGGTTAAATGGCCTGCTTAAAATGCTGGCTCTGTTGCTCAGGAGCTGTGAACTTGGGCCTTCTATTGCACCTCTATGTACACTTTTTCTACCTGTTAAGTGGGAGGAATGACAGTGCTGTCTTCATTGGTCATTTTGAGGAATAAATATCTTCATATGTATAAACTGACCAGACCCATGCCTGCAAGAGAGCAAGCACTGAAATGTAATTGGTATCAATAATATATCAAGGAAGTTTGTTCGGAGGCACCTTGCTAGTAAGTAGGGTAAAAATCTTCTGTTCCAAAGTCTGTCTAAATTATTAATCATTGGTACACTTGCTTGATCAGGACACTTAACCCCTCTGAGCCTCTGTTTTTCTCACTAATAAATGGGGAAAACACCATAGTGCCTGCACCAAATCAGTCCTATTGCAGAGCCCAGCTCAGAGTGAGACTTGATTGTTAATAGTGCTGTCTCTATAATCTACTTGTAGAATATCTGTATGTATATATTTGTGTGTGTATATGTATGTATGTATATATATATATATATATATATATATATATGATTATTCCACATTTATATTATATACTATGTATAGCTAATTTATAGCCTAGGTCTTACTCTTAAATATTTCTCCTAATACTGAAAATACAGGATAGTTTAAAGTATATTTTATGAATTTACTCTCATTTCAAAGAATTGATTTGGTTTACTGGATAACTGAAAACAGTTTTCTCCCTAACTATCAAGGTTTCATTTTACATTTTTAATGTTCTGATGGTCTTAAGTGTGTCTCTTCCAGATCCTTTAAAATAGTCTATGGAAGGTTTTAAAAATTTCCCAAATTCTTTTTCTTTTACAAATGTAGATTGGCCATAATTTCAATCTTTATTTTACAGAGGGAAGAGAAGAGACAGAATTTCACAGAGGGAAATATGATGTTATGTTTTTGCTGTTGTGCCTTTTTTTTTTTTTTTGGTGTGTGTGGGAAAGGGTGTGATGTCATCTTGTCTCCACCCCCTGTGAGTAAGCCCACGGCACAGCTAAGTGCAGCCGCCCGCCTCTGTCACTGGGAGACCATCCACTTAAATGCAGCTCCAGGGTTGCGAGGCACCCACCAGCATCACTCCCCGGGCGAGGTGGCAAATGCAACATGCTCTCCAGCTTGGGGTGTCTACTTCTCTGTGGAAGTATTGCACTTGCCCTGGGAAATGCACAGAAATTGCCAAAAGGCAAGTAGCTCTGATGTTTTATGTTTTAAAAATATTTTTAAGAGATACTTGTTTTTAAACTGTTAATATTAAATATGATCTGCTCTATCATATGGGGGGATAGATTTATGCTGCAGAAAGTCAAAGTTCAAATGTGTAAAGGGTTTGCTTAAGCTATTACTCCACTCTCCCCATTATTTACTTTTCAATTGCAGCTCTTTATGGCAAAAATGAAAACCAACTTCTTGGTTGGGTATGTTCAAGGGAACTGGAATGGTATAGTTTCAAGTTACAGTATTTGTATATTGAATCATATTATGTAAAGGGCTATTATAATTTGTCAGTTATTTGCTGTTTTTATCACTCAGAGACTAAACCAGCACACGCTTAAGATTTAAAAGAAGCTAATTCTGAAATCTGGAATCTTTGGCACAAGCCTCAAGCATACCTGTTAACCAGGAGGTTGAGGGAGTCTAGGCAGGTCTGACCAAAGTATGGTCACGCGCTAAGTGGTAGACACTTCTCTCCAGTGGAGTTTGGAAGAGGGTTTGATGTGTTGGACAGGACACTCCCCCTTTCTCCTGCCTAAACTGCTCTTATTTTAGTGTTGGTATTTTGTTTACAAATGCCATTAGAAGAAAATTAAGTTTTCTAAATTTAGACCTCAAAAAACTCTTTAAGCCCATCGGCACTAAAACAAGAGGCTCCTTCCTCTCCTGTCTTTGAACAGAAATGTTGTGTGTACTTTCGTTCCTTTGCAGAGGCACTTTTGGAAGCCAACTTTAGGTCTGTGAAGGCTTTTATGGCTGCAGACTGCTGTAGTCAGCAGGATTATGAAAAACAGGCTGGAATTTACCGTACAGTTATGATGGAAAATATTGGAGGTAACCCAGAGCCACAGGCTTGTCAAAAACCTGGCGTGCATAATAGAGTCAAGAAAAGTTGTTAGTGTCAGAATATTCAGAAGATCTTGCCTGGGTCCTTTCCTGGAGGGCTCACTCCAGAATCATCTTCTCTCGAGCAAAAGCTGCTCTTCTTTCACTGGGTAAAGTGAAACTTGAATCCAGAATGTGAAGGCTGAAGCACTTGGCTGGTTGGTATTTCACATGATGATGTGAAAAGCAATAAAAAGGCGAAGTAAAACTTCTCAACTCTGATCTAATAATTATGCAAAGAAAAAAGAAAAGCAAACACTATCAGATCTTTTTCTTATACCAAGAATTTTGTTCCTTGGTCATAGCAAACTGTGATGAAAATGAGTCTGAGCTACCAGCATTTAGAATTGACCCTTCATAGTGATGAAACATTTAATAATAACATATCATTTGAGAGGAGTCTGGGGTTTTTCTCCATCTCAATACCTATAGATGGTTTTATTTTATTTTCTATTCACCAAGTAGAGATGATAGCCAAAATTTGGTTTATTGCAAACTTCTGCAAATCCCAAGTGCTTTAATTATTCTGCATTCACTAAAAACAGACCTCTTAATACAGTTTGCCTTTATTTTCAATGGTAAAGGAAAAAAAACATAGTTGTAAAAAATAATCATGAAATATTTGTATATTTAATTAAGTTTTAATCTGAAGTGTTTTCATCCAGGTTCTTTTGTAAATTAAAAAAAATCTGTTATAAAATAAATGGCACGTCTCATTGTTTGTAGTGCTATTTCAAATGGAAGCTGCTGAGGGACTTTTAGCTGAAGTCACCTTTCCCAAACTGTGTTCCAGGAATAGGTGTTCTGTCCTATGATGGTGTGTGTGKGGGGGTGTGTATGTGTGTGACAGTGGGCAGGCAGCTGCTTTTTGTCAATTACTTGGGGAACCTTTGATACTTTGTCCATATAGGTTGGGTATTCACAATAGATGTTAGCATTTTATAATTTTTAACCCATTGTTTCTCAAATTCATTTAACTTAAATGATGGTAATAATATCTTGCCAGGGGTTTGTCTGTTCCAGAACATATTTGGAGAAATGCTGGGCTATAATAGGATTAAAAAAAAGAAGGAAAAAAAGGTTTTTCTTTTTTTCTACCTAATTTAGAGTTAGTTAAGGACCATGTGTTATTTAAGATTCCCATTTTTCATAAAACAGACCATTTTAACAGATTTATAAAACAAGTGAATTTAACTACACAAACAAGTCTATTATCCTTATTTTACTCATTTTGCCACAGACTGATAAAAACTTCATTACAGGCCAATATTTGGAAATCACTGGCTTAGCTTGACGTTTATTTTCTAAATGAAGGCATCCAAAGAATAGAGAAGTTGAGTGATTTTTCCCATGTTAATGGCAGAGCCAGGAGTGGATACTGGGTTTCTGATTAAAAAATCCACATTCTACCCTATTTCCCACTTGGTAAGCAGGGTCTCTCACCCAAATCTTAGGCATCACACCCTATAGCATGTGTGAGAACGCTATTCTTCTTGTGAATAAAATTGATTCTCATACAATGTTTAAAGTTCATCTTAATTTTCTCATTTTCCTAAGACAAAGTTACATTTGATACAAACATTATACACACACACACACACACACATATATGTATATATATATTGTTTGATTATTTGTAAGAAATCATCTGTTACATGTCATCTGCCTATATGCTAATGACTATATTCTTTGGCAAGTTACTTAGCTAAGCCTCAGTTTTCTCATCTGTAAAATGGGCAAAATGGTATCTATCTCATAGTATTTTAGGATTAAATGAGTTAAGAGATGCAGAGATTTTAGTAAAGGGTCTTATACATAACTGGCCTCCAATAAATTCTTATTCCTAGTATAAAGGTGGCTTAATATTGAGTGCACACTGAATAATATATGATCTTTTGTTGAAACTGTAAGATAAATCTCTGAGATAGCTTGGTAGTGTGTCATTGGTGGGCAGGTGGGGTGAGATAGTGACCTACTGTTTTGTGTGACCACTGGGAAAATCATCTGTCCCCTTCCAGTCTGACTGTGCTCCTTGAATGTGGGCAGACACTCTCCAGGGGAAGCTGCACCTTTGCCTTAGGATCAGGGTTTCAGTGGAGATGGGAAAGGCTGCATGGCTTCTCCAGGTGAGAACCACTTGAACTTTCAGGAGGACAATTGGACCCTAACACATAGGCCCCTGAGATGAATCTCATTGTTTTGTACCTTAGGAAGCCCCTGTGCTCCAGCAACCTTCATAACCTTTATTCTTGTACCATAGAAGTTTCTTCTCCCCATCACACATATGAAAACAAAATCACACGGAGTAAAGGGAGCCAACAAAATCTTACAATTGGACATCAGAGGCTTGACACACCTGCTAAAACTCCTGTGTATGAAGGGTTGTATTCAGCCTGAAGGCAAAGGATACTGTTATTAGGCAAGTCTATCATACCTCCCTTTAAGGCATGTGTGAGGAAAACCACAGAGGAGCATCGAGTAGCAAGTATAGTCACATGGTCAGGGGGCCTGGGGATCTTGGGTGTGATTCTTGTCATGTGGCAGAGGGAATGGATAGCTCGCTCTTTGTCTGAGGTTTTACCTGAAAAGGTAGTCGTCTCTCAGGTCAGGTATTAAAAAACACAGGAACAGATGATATAACAGTGACCATCATCATGGCTATTAGCTACTACTGCTATTGTTTTCATTCTCATAGATGACATTTTTTAATGTGTACTGCAGGTGGTAATTTATATATATATATATATATATATATATATATATACACATAATTTATTAAATATATATTATTTTTCTGAAGAAAAGTAAATAATAGGTATTATTAAATAATTATTATTTATTATTAATATTTCCTTGTCCTAAGATGGAAGAGATCTGATGGTCCCCCTTAATTATTATTTATTAATAAATAGAAAATATTTCTGCTTGGCTAGCAAAGGAGAAACATAGGGGACCCTGAGTCCCAAAGGCTGTGATTCTGCCCATCATCAGGAACAGGGGGCTTTTAAAGAGGTGATTTAAAGGCTACATTCCACATGTTCACTAGTCAATTTGGAAGACAGTCATTTCTGAGCTCTTCTGGTACCATCCCCAAATTCTGGATTACTTCATTTCTATGGTGGGTTTGTACTCAAGGACAGATAAATCTGCCTAATAGGGGGAAGAGAGGTAACCCTGTTTTCCCTGAGATTAGGGAGTAGGAGAGATTGAGGAGGAGGAGGGAGAGAAGAAGAGAAAGAAATGTGTCCATTTTAAAAATAGGTTGCAGTGGCAGAGCAGCAAGGGCTATATTTAAAGTATAAAGTGGACCACTGTTATATTTCCTCGCTGTCAATTTCCAAGTTCCACTTCTATGGAAAAATGGGTGATGACATCTCCAAACTGCTTCCTGCTGAAAGGGGATGAAGTTGGGGGAAAGTCACCCAAAGTCTTGGTCTCTATCAGGTGAGGTGTGGACAGTTAAGGGTATTTAGTATCAGAGCAGTCCAGAGGTCCACCTGGCAGATGGCAGGTGACTGGACAAGGCATCCATAAGGCAGGGATCATGCTAAGATTATAGAGCTACATATTTTTAATGAGCTCATTAAATTGTCTAAATCCCCTTGCAAAGTGGGTAGGTATCCTATTGCTTGCATTTTGTAAAGCATCAGATTATGCCTCCACATGTCTAAATAACTTTGCCCTAGCCACATAGACAGCATGGCCAAGATATTACCCTTGATTTTGAGGAAATATCAGCTCTGTAATCTGTGTAAAGATCCACTAGTTTATTTAAGTTATAAATTCTACCCCATGTTTATGGAGAGCACTGAGACTGGGAAGACAAAACTTGACACTTGTCTTCAGGCAACTGGCGTTAGTGGAGGAGATGGGATAGAAAGGGATAACTCCAGTCAAGTGGCATCCTTCTCCAATTTGGGTGAAGCACAGTGAATTTTGAGACTAGCCAAAAGGACCGAATCCAGACTGGAGGTGTCAAATATTATAAAAGGCCCTCAAGTAGAAGTGTGAAGGACAAATGCATTTGGGGGCAARAAGAAGGATGGCTGAGAAGTGAGGGGCCTTCCCAACAGAGGTGACTGCTGG